GTCATTGGCTTTGTTTCACAAGACAACCCAGCCTGACACACCCACAACCTACACACAGAAGGAAAATCTTTTTAGAGTTTCTTCTGAAGAGAGTCTGATATTTGCTATTGGACTGATAATTTCTGAAGGAGCAGGAAACAAAGGTTTTTTTAAATCATTTTATTAGGGGCTCATACAACTCTTATCACAATCCATACATACATCAATTGTGTAAAGCACATTTGTACATTCATTGTCCTCATCATTCTCAAAACATTTGCCCTCCACTTAAGCCCCCAGCATTAGGTCCTCATTTTTCCCATCCCTCCCCACTCCCCCCTACCTCATGAGCCCTTGATAATTTATAAATTGTTATTTTGTCATATCTTGCCCTGTCTGACGTCTCCCTTCACCCACTTTTCGGTTGTCTGTCCCCCAGGGAGGAGGTCACATAGAGTTCCTTGTAATCGGTTCCCTCTTTCCAACCCACTCTCCCTCTACCCTCCCTGTTTCGCCACTCACACCACTGGTCCGGATGGGATCATCCGCCCTGGATTCCCTGTATTTCCAGTTCCTATCTGTACCAGTGTATATCCTCTGGTCTAGCCAGACTTTCAAGGTAGAATTCGTGTCATGATAGTGGGAGCGGGGAGGAAACATTTAAGAACTAGAGAAAAGTTGTATTTTTCATCGTTGTTACATCGCACCCTGACTGGCTCGTCTCCTCCCCGAGACCCCTCTGCAAGGGGGTCTCCAGTGGCCCAACAATAAAGATAAATGGATACTTCGCTTGGGAATTGTACAGCATTTATATTACTTAACAAAACAAAGCAGCAGAAAACATGGACACACTGATAGAGGGAGAGCACCAGGAAACATTTGCTTTCCCAGGAGCATTCATTTCTGTTGGGTCTGAAACACCAGGGATCAGGGAGGAGCTGCAGAAAGACTTAGGGAGGTGCACTAAAAAGGAAAACCAACAACACAAAACTAGTTGTCTCGGACTCACTGCTAACTGGTGACAACTCTGTGCTTCAGAGTGCAACTGCCCCACGGGGTTTCCAGTAGCCTTTCACAAGTGGATCCCAGGCCTGTCTTCTGAAGTAGCTCTAGGTGGATTTGAACCACCAACCCTCATGTTAGTAGCTGAGCACTTCACCATTTGCACCATCCAGGGACTCCTCAGAATGAAGAGTTGGTGAATTCTCAAGCAGGTTAACTTAAGAAAAAATTGCATTTAGGGGAGAAAAAAAAATCAAAATTTACACCCCCCCCCAAAAAAGAAAGTTGAATTGGCAAATGTTATATACATCCCAATTTTTTAAAGTGATTTCAATTAGTTTTAACCCATGAAAGACACCAAAGGTACTGCTCATCTTTTTAAAACACCTGCTTAATGTGCGGGTGTGAACCCCAAGTCCTTTAAATGTTGGTCTGTAATGTAGTAATATCCTGATATTATAAAGTTATTACTTCAAAACATATGGATTATCATCTACAATCCTGGTTGCCTTATTGAGGGATTCTTGGTGCCTTTCCAGAGAAGAGCAATGCCAATGACCAGTAAGCACGATTATTCAACTTGATAACACTGTCCCCACTGAGGTAAACGATTGTAATAAGTACTGAGTGACAGGAGGCATAAGTCATTGTCTGTGTGTTGACTCTGACTCACAGGGACTCTGGAGGACAGACCAGAATTGCCCTAGAGGGTATCAAGGCTGTACTTTTGCCTGAAGTAGACCGACAAATCTTTCCCGAGTGCAGCTGGTGAGTTCAAACTGCCAACCTTCTGATGAGCACTCAAGCACTTACCACAGTGCCCAGGACTCCACAGTGAAGCAAAGAGAGGGCATGATTAGCTAAAAGCTATGCAGCTAGTCAGTGTCTATGCCAGGATTTAAACACAAGCAATCTGACTCCAGAGGGTTTTCTTTCTAGACTCTATGCAACACTTCCAAGTCTGAAGAACAACCATACACAGAATGAACACAGCGGGCAACTCTGAGCCCCCAGCTAAGTGAATCCAGAAATAAGAATGCCCACAGAGACTGACCCAATCTGAAGTCAACCAAGTCACCTTCAGGAGGTTGAACAGCTCCTAGGATAGGAACCTTCTCAACAACTAGGAGGTCTTAGGTGAGTCATGGAAACATGGAAAAGGCTGAGTCCCAGGGTCAGCTGCCAGTTGGGTCAGATCCCAGCTGACATTTTAAACCTCTGGCTGGGTAGGAGTGGTGGAAGGTATTGGTTGATCCCATTGGCTGAATCAAGCCCACCTGAGCCTAGTTTGGGCCACCCAGGTGTAAAGCCCACCTGGCTTGGGGTTGGGGGTGGTGGGGTTGGAGGGCCTGAATTAGAGCATGCCCTGTTAAGGTCTTTATTGGTGGCTAATGGTTGCCTGATTTTCCTTCCCCACCTTCTGTATGGGGCCTGTGCAGGCATGGGAGGGACAGCCCCCCTGTCCCTGTCCCTGTCCCTGTCCCTGTCTGGCTACCTAACATGCCTACTGGGAAACTGGTAATCCTGGCCTCTAAAAATCAGGACATATCTGATTTTCTAGATCATGTAATTTAAATCATAGTGAGTTTATACCAGAAGCAGTTTTTGCAAACATCTGGTCTCCCTGGTATTTATATTTCTCACCAAACATTACCAATTGGCATTCTACAGAGTAGAAATGGGCGTACAAAAGGGTGATTCCACATCTTTGTATCTGATCAGCTCTGAGTCAGTGAAGAGACTTGATTGGTGGAGTTTAGTCCTGCAAGAGCGAGCTCAGGTGGTGAAGTGAGTTATGCACTGGGCTGTTATCCACACGATAGCCGTTTGAACCCACAGGTGTTTTCTTAGGATAAAGATGAGGTTTGCTGCTCCTGGAAACCGGAGGGACCAGATCTACTCTGCCCTATAAGGTCACACGGAGTCGGAATTGCCTTGATGGCTGTGGCTTTGCCTTACCAAGATTGATGGCCAGATTCTAACCTCCTGTTGCCAGGCATCTACTGCTATTTTGAGTCTCTCAGCAGTCAGCCCATCTGCTTTCCCTCCTGACAAACTGACATCAGTACATACGACTTAAAAACACAATAACTATACAAGGACTCTAAAAATGAATATGAGGCTTTATGGTCTAAAACCCCCCAAAGCAACGGCAGTTCATAGATGACTGGAGTATCTACAATAGCCTGAGAATATGGCTAAGGATAAATGTGCAATTAAGTATTTGCTAGAATTGGAATATTGCCACTACAAAATAAAGTTTGAAGATGAAAGAACTTGTTTGTAGGTACATAATTTAGATTCACTCTTGCTATGGTTCAACATAGAGCGGGCACTGTAGGAAGAACACGGAAAACAAGAGGTAGCAGAGTCCCCGTTTTCTGCTCCCAGATGGTTGAGAGTCTAGGAGAAGGAGTGAAGTAAAAATCCAAAAGGCTGCAAGGGAAAATAGACTACTCTGGGTGCAACAAAGAGACTAGGGATAAACATCCCTCTGAAAAAATCCTCGGGGTGGGGTGTCTCACCAGGTGTTTGGGAACCTTTTCCCCCAAACTGTTGAGCACTGTGCTGTAAGGATTGCTTTGCAGCAAAATGCCCCCAGTATCTGCCTTGACTCCTGACCCACTTGGCATGGAGTCAGCTTACCAGGTGGGAAACTCAGTTTAAAAAACATGTGCAAGTGACATCGTCTTCTCCCAACAGTGCCCAGTTGGCTTGCCTGGTCCACCTCATATTCGGACTGCCCCAGCATTGTTTACAATCGGAGGAGCTCTGAGCAGCAAGGGAAGAAAGATGCCAGGAGCCATTTCCGTTTCGGGGACACTATTCTCTCCCAGGTGTGTCTGTCTGCATCAGGGCTCTCAGCGATGACAAGGTGGCAGGCACCAAGGCTACCTCCGTAGCCCAGACAGACAGCAGGCGATGCAGCTGAATCCAGAGTCGGGTGTGTGCCTTCTGGCCAAGGAGGTCTGTTGCTTCAAGAACGGTACAGATTTGAGAAGTGTGGCAAGTTGTGAAAGCAAAGGCCTTGCATACACTTGCTTGGTGGAAGGTGGTGTAACAGGAATCATTACATACATTGGAAGAAGGGGGACCCTCCCTTGAACCCCACCTTCTACTTGCACAAGGTCAGCACCGAAAGGGGATGAGGAAACAAAATAAAACCAGTCTTCTCAACAACTTCTGAAGTCTTTCAAGTTCCTCTAGTTTCCAGCTTGGTCTCACTCACCGGGTTTGAAAGCGAGAAATCCCCGCGATGTGTGTGTGAGGGAGGCAAAGGCACCGATTCATGCCAATACCTGTAGGGATAAGACGCATCTTGCCAAGACAAGAGCTGCCCGGTGAATGCATCCTGGCATCCTAGCTCTACCCTGCACTCCCAGAAATCAATTGTATGTCACTGGCCTTTCATTCGCATTTTCACCATCCACGCAGCGGGAACGAGAAATTGGAAAACTTAAAAACAAGACCCAGCTCTTTAGCACCAGGTCGAGCAAATATCAAGCAAAACCAAAACACTCACTGCCTTGAGATCTGACTCGTAGCGACCCCAGAGGACAGACTACAACTGCTCCCAAAGGGTGTCCAAGGCTGGGCATCTTTGTGGAAGCACATCCTCCGCGGACACAGCGCGCGGACAGGCAAAAGCTTTAACCGCGGCACCACCAGGCTTCCTAAACCGACGACACCAGGTGGCCATTTCTATTGTTTTAGGGCAAAGCCATTACCAAGTTCAAAACAAAGCAAACCAAAACCGGGAGCCCAGAACCCCACCTCTCTGTGAGCCAAATATGTTTGGGGGTCCTCTGACAGAGTCTTTGGGAAAGCGGCCTGGGCGGAGGGAGAACCGCGGCCATCCCCTCTACCTGCGGCGCCCCGAGCCCCCCGGGCCCGCTCGGGGCGCGGACGCCGGGGAAGGCAGGCTGCGCCGGCGGGCGCCGCTCTCCCGCGGGGAGCGCGCTGGGACCCACTTCGGGGTCCTCCGCCCGCGCCGCCGCCGGCCCGGGCGCACTGCTCACCTGCGAGGCTCGGCGCCACCAAGGCGGCCAGCAGCAGCAGCGGCGTCAACGACAGCGACGGCGACAGCGGCGGGGCCGGGCGCCCGCCCCGGCTGTGGGTGGACATCGCTCCGCGGCCGCGACCTCCGCTTCCCGGGCTAGGCGGCAGCTGGGACGGTGGCAGCAGCTGGGAGGGTGGCTCTTCGGCTCGGCAGCCCGGCACCGCGCGCGCGTCTCAGAGGCTGGGGCTTCCTGAACTTTCCTGTTTAATTAGCCTGCCTGCCTGCCGGGGCCTTTTAGGGACCAGGACGTCTCACGTGGCCTCGGCTTCAACCTTTGTCCTGCTCGGCCCTACCTAGGAGAGGCGGGTCTTTGGGCCGGACCCTCGGGCAATCTGTGGACCAGGCTGACCTCGCTGTGCTTCTGGATCAGCCGAGGCTGCGGCTGCGGACGACTTGCTCTGGACAGCGTGAGGCCCCAGCTTTGACTTACTCAGTTCATGGCAACACCACTAGCTTCTGCCTCCAGGACGGCCTCTCCTCGGAAGCCACGGCGGGCCAGGCTCCAGAAACAAGCCGTGCTGTTCCAGACAGGTGACTGAGGAGGGAGGTCCTCCCAGCCCGGGATTGCCACCCTGCCGGACAAGATGGTCTACCCTGAACCCAACTGCTGCCACTCCAGGTTGGTGCTTCTCTGCTTTTCCCACATGGAGCGGGCTTATCACTCGGGGTGCTTTAGACAAGATGGAAACTAGAGACATTTCTGTCACCCCAGGAAATCCTCATGGCTGTAAGGGGTCAGTTGAAAGGGACCGTGTGAAGCAGGCAGAACATGTCCCAGATAGCATTGTGAAGTCGGCCCCAGGGACATTGTGAAGTAGGCAGGGCACTTTATGCATGGAGGGGCACTGGCCAACTCCCCCAGATGGCCAGGCTTTTGTCTAGGACTCCAGGTCGAAGGACTTAAAATCCACCTTGGCAGTGATCACGATGGTTGACGGGGTCATTGGAATCTTCAACAGAATCCGAGGAAGAGGATTGGGAGGAAGAAATGGAGGTACCCCACTGGAGGCACAGCACAGCCTGGTTACTAAAATCAGGACAGCCTGGCGTTGGCTGGCTGGTGTGGAGCCTGCCAATGTCACCTGTCCCTGAATCTGGCACTATGTCAGCATGAGGAGTCTCCTGTGCTGGAGCCGGTAGACTTAGACACTCGATACAGACAGAAGGGGAAAGAGTTTGACACTCTCTCCTGTCTGTGGCACCTGGGAACAGCGGACAGGGTGCAAACAGGCCTCAGGATGTCAAAGATGTCACTGCGCTTTCTGCCCTGTGACAGCAGCGCCTCTATGCCGCAGTGAATGAGCAGGTAGAATCTTCCCTAGTCTGGATGCCATCCGGCTACAAAGGGCCTTGGCTGAATGAAGCGGGTATCCCTGCTGTGTGCCGTGGTCTAGTAGGCACGGGATCAGAAAAGGTAGAGCATGCCTGGTGGGATGGCGTGGGTAGGGGCAGATGTGTTCCACTACATTGATAATGTCATATTAACCTATGATTCTCTTGCCTCCTTCAATATGCTGTTCTGCAACTGGAGGCCCATCTGAGCTCATGAAGATGGGTTGGCAATGATGCCAAGCTGCAGGGCCTGGGTTCTATGCCAAATTCTTGGGTGTTGTGTAGTCCAGTAAGCTGAAGGTGTTCTCCAAAGCAGTGATTGATAAAATCAAGGTATATCCCTGGCCCACTAAAGTAAAAGAGCTACAGGCCTTCCAGGGTTTGTTAGGATAGTGAGGCCCCTCATTTCCCATTTAGGATACAACTTAAGACCCCTGTACCAGCTAGTAAAGAAAGGAGTGATACAGAATTGGGCCCTTCAGGGCCACCAAAGTGACAGTACAGCAAGACCAAAAAGAAACCCAACTCATTGCCATTGAGTCTATTCCAACTCCTAGTGACCCATAGGGCAGGCTAGAACCGCCCCTGTCAGTTTCTGAGACAGTCATTCTTTACAGCCGTGGGGCAGCGGATGGTTTCAAACTAGTAACCTTGTGGTTAGCAGTTCAACGTCTCACCATTATGCCCCTAGGGCTCCTTCCATCCAGCAAGTACAAGTCTTCGGATAGATCTAAAGATAGATCAGGAGTGTGGATCGGATGTCGTCAGCTCTCGATGGATCTGGGGACCGTGGCAACAGCAACAAAGATGGTGTCTTCCCCGGGGTTTTGAGTTCCAACCATGGAAGGGTGCAGAAACCAGGTATAGCCCGATGGCAAACCAGCTTTGCCCATGTACGATAGTTGGCACCCGGTGGGAGATGTCATCCAAGGAGCTGGAGTGATGTTGCACATATATTATCCCCACCCCACACATGTACAAATGCGCTTGACACAATAGATGGATGGATGGATTGTGATTAGAGCTTTAAGAGCTCTCAATAAAATGATTTTTAAAAATACCCCCCCCCCCAAATATCCCATACAAGGCTGGGGAGGGACTACCCATGACAGTCAGTGGAGGCCCAGACCAATGTATGTGGACTTGCAGCAGATAAAGAGCCCGATAGCCAGTCATCTGAAGGCTGAGCAACACCAAATCCTGGAGCCAGTAACATAGATCCCTGACCTGGCAGATAATCCACAAAGGGCAGAACTGCCCATGCAGGAAAGCCCCCCTGCTGAGGGCACAGGGACCAGGCCCTGAAGAAACCTGGTTCATAGAAGGCTAGCTCGGCCTGAGGCCACCCTAGCGGCTTGACAGTGGCCAGCCAGCCAGCTACCGATGGGGTGTGGCTTGATGGGGAGGACTGGAGCTACCAATGGGCTGAGCCTGGGTGTTTCTGATGTGTGAAATCACCCTTTTAACAGCTGGATGGTATAAAAAGGAGTCACACTTTGGAAAGAACAGGGCTGGCCATGGGCAACGGGTCCCGGGGTGGTGGATTTTGGGAAAAATATCTGGGCCTGGGTAGAGAGCATGGACATTGCTGCTTTTCGTGTACAGGTTCACAGCCCATCGACCCCACCAGGAAATGCCCAGAGGGATGGCCTAACCCACTCTGCACTGTGTAACAGGCCACTGGCACACAGGACGTGGAGCGGCTCCAGTGAAAGACAGACAACAATGGACTGCAGCCCATATGGACTACTGACAAAGAGCTAGACGGCCTCTCTGTGGACCAATTCCTGGAGGCCCGCAGGGATTATCCCCGCTGCTCACTGGAGAGGCACAGGCCTGTCCCCCACCAACCGGACAAAATTCTGAGCATAGACACCTGCTGAGACCCCTACCAATGCTAGCAATCGCTGTTATGCACTAATGCGTGTGGACACCGCCACCAGCCTCCTTTGAGACGTCATGAAAGTGAGAGGCCTAACACTCTGCCGCCCACAGGCTCTCCCAGCTATCTGCCACCACCTATGGCATTCCAACGGACACCGACATCCATCAGGGCACCCACTGCACCCGCACAAAGTACAGGGTGTAGCCTGGTGCTTTCTCCTCCCCAACCATCCCGCTGCTGCTGGACTCATTGAATGAATGAGCACCGTCCTGAAGCAGGTGCTGTGACAGCACACCCATTCATTGCAGCAGTGGACCAAGCGACTGCGAGAGGGCCTACACTGCACCAGCAAGTACGAATGGCAAACACAACCCAGAGAGCCAAGATAGCCAAGAGAGTTCAACTCTCTGGCGAATGTGAGCAATGCCCTCCGCTGCTGCTTGGAAACTCCAACAGCCTTCTATCACCATTGCCCAAGGACCTCATCCCTGGGAGGACCATTGTCTCTCTTCCGTTCACATAGCAAAGCAGTCCTCAGTGGTTTGGTGTTCCAGCGTCTTGAGGAAGAAGGCTAGATTTGGGGTTACATGTATCATTGTGGTTACATTCAACATCCCCTGAAGCTTGCAGGGACGAATCCCAGTGGTGAGACAATGCTGGTGGGGCTCCAGAAATCAACCTGTGGCATTGTAGTCCCTAGCTTCCCTTCCCAAGAGGGCCCATGAGGACCATCAATACTTATTTTAAGTGTAGGGAACAGACTCAGCTCAGGGTTAGTTTAAATGCACCACTCACTATTGCATGCGGTGGCCGTGATTTGTCCATGTTAGTGCCTCTCATCTCTCTTTCTTTTCGCCCCTAATGCTTCCAGTAATGTATGTGCCAGCTGGATCATCATCGTTGCTGATAAGAAGAATCAATCAGACTGTTGGGTATGTGGAACAATCTCAACATTTGTTGTCCTGCTGTGGAAAATCACAACCTGAGCCTGTCTGCAAAGAAGCCCTGCTGGTGTAGTGAGTTACGTGTGTTAGGCTGCTAATTACAATATCAGCAGTTCAAAACTACCAGCTGCTCCATGGAAGAAAGATGAGGCTTTCTACTCCTGTAAAGATTTACAGTCTCAGAAACCCACAGTGACCTATAGGATCACTATGAGTTGGCATTGACCCTATGGCAGTGAGTTTGGTTTATTTTGAGCCTGTTTGCCAGACTAGTGAGACCACCACATATGGCATTGTGTGTTCTCTTTCATCTTAGGACTTTGGGGTCTTGGGGTGGTCTTTTGTTGTGTGATGTATTGCTATTTTACTTTCTGCCTACAATTATCTTTCCAAGATATTTGGAAAGATAATACAGAAGACTGGTAAGATTATGAGGGCCCTGTAGGGATTTGGGGTGGAGTATAGGGACACTGGCTCATGCTCCAAATGGTCATGCTTTTGTCAATCACTAACTGCCACCAAGAAAGCCCCCAGGACTGTAGGTCCAGCAGCTCACCTGTTCTCACTGCCACCCTCCTCTGACCAATGCCCAAGCTTGGACAGAGAGCCAGGATTCCATCCTGTCCTTATCACATGAAACACTTGCCCAGGTAACCATGTTTGGCTGGTCCTGACCCAAACAGCTGTTTACTCCTAGTAGAAAGGAGTCAGGGTCCTACCCCGGGAGCGGATCCATTCCTGTCCAAACAGCCGCAGCTGGATGCAGTACTAACTGCCTGTCCATAAGCCCCGCCTACTGCAAATAAACGAATGTCGGTTAGGTTGACTT